CTCCGTGCTCTCCCTTTTTCCCTCTCCCCCCCCATCCGCCTCCTCCTCCTCCTCCTCCTCCTCCTCCTGCTCCTACTCCTACTCCTACTCCTACTCCTTCTCCTACTCATCATCATTCTCCCCGCCCCCTCACGCATCCATCAATCCAGCCTCCTCCTCCTCCTCATCGTACTTCCTTGGCTCGGTTCAGCTGTCGCCCTCTTTATTCCCGCACTTCCCTAGACACCTCAACTCGCCTGGGCGTCGTTTCTGGATGGGCTGGCGCCGATACGCGAAACGTCAACAATTTGTTCTCTGACAGTCGCCACGCTAATCCAAGGTTGCGAGCGGGCCCCCCTTCGGGAGCTCTCGGCGCTGGCTTCGAACCGTTCTGAGTGCCTCGTGGGCCGCCGGGCCGTTCTGGAGCTCTCTGGAAGTCTTGGCCCTTCCGTGCTGTTTTGGGAAGTCTTTCAAGGCGTTTCGGGGGCAGTCTGGGGGCCCCGTCGGGCCGCCGTAAAGATTTCTTGGGGCGCACGGGGCCAACTCATCGGAGTGCCGTGCGAGGCCGTCGCGAGTCTCTCTTGGGCCGCTCTGGGCACGGTGAGAAGGGCGATGGCGCTTTTCCTCGGAGCCTCTGCAGTGCGTCAAGAAGCCCAAGCCGAAGCGGCCAAGTCCAGCCCTACATCAAGGTTTCCCCTCCAGGGCGCCGCAAGGAGCAGCGTCTGCAAGAGAACCAACAGCATCGGCGCGCATGTGCAGCACCCTGCCAACGAGCGCCACACCTCGACGCTGCCTTCCCCGTCTGCGGGAATCCCGGCGGCGGCAGCCAGTTCGCGGCCGATCAGCACGCGGCCCGCTCGGCCGCCTGGAAGAGGTCAAGGCACACCAAGCAGGGCACAGGAACGCACGGGCGCACAGGGAACAGGGAGAGAGAGGAGACGAGAGAGAAGAGAGCGAGAGAGAGAGAGGGAGAGGAGAGAGAGAGAGAGGAAGAGAGAGAGAGATGAGAGAGAGAAAGAGAGAGAGAGAGAGAGGAGACAGGCGAGAGAAAGAGAGAAGAGAGAAGAAAGAGAGAGAGAGAGAGGAGAGAATAGAGAAGAGAGAGAGAGAGAGAGAGATAGAGAGAGAGAGAGATAGAAGAGAGAGAGAGAGAGAGAGAGAGAGAGAGAGAGTAGAGAGAGAGAGAGAGAGAGATAGGAGAGATATAGAGAGCGGAGAGAGAAGAGATAAGAGAGTAGAGAGAGAGAGAGAGAGAGGGAGAGAGAGGAGAGAGAAGAGAAAGAAAGAAGAAGAGAGAAAGAAAGGCGGAAAGAGAGAGAGAATAGAGAGAGAGAGAGAGAGATAGAGAGGAATAGAGAAAGAAGAAGAAGAAGAGAGAGAGAATTATGAAAGGAGAGAGAGAGAAAATATATTAGAAGAGGTAGGAGAGAGAGGGGGGGGGAAAAAGGAGAGAAAGAGAGAAGAGAAAGAGAGAGAGGAGGGGAGAGAGAGAGAGAGAGGCGAAGGCGGAAGGCAAGAGAAAAGGGATAAGAGAGAGAGAGAGAGAGAGAGAGAGAGAGAGAGAGAGAGAGAGAGAAAGCCCAGGATAGAGAACGCCGTGAAGGGTCGGTTTGCCCTGGCGGCCTGAACCAGAGAACCAGAATTCCGAATTGCCCCGCAATGGGCCCGCCAGCAGCGCCCCTGGCGGCAGCGGCTGCCTGGCGCCCAGGCCCGCGGACAGGTCCACGACGAACCCGTGGCCCCTGCACTCCGCCGACGCAAGAGCGAGCAAGATCTTCTTCTTGTCGTCCAGGACGCGGAACCATCGGCTCTCGCCGAAAAGAGCGTCGGCCGCGGCCGCGGTCGGCATCTTCACCTGGTTCCGCAAGCAATACTCGAGAATGCCCTTCTGCCAGCCCACTGGCAGGGCGCGCGTTTGAACCGCCTCCCGCTGCAGAATGGCATCGTCGATGTAGTCCGACCACACCGTCGCCGAAGCCTCCGCAAAAGCTTCGAAGGGAGGGCCGCGGATCTGCCGTGCCTCGACGCTCTCTGCGAACACGCGGAAGAACTCAGTCCCCGACTCCATGTTCAACAGGGCGCCCCCGCGCGCCGCCAACAGCCACCTGCTGCACTTGCTGAAAGGCGCGCCGTAGTCCGCCGAGTCCACGACGAAGGTCAGACACTGCCACTCGTCGGTTTCCTGCAATTCGTCGTGCGGGATGCTCTCCCCCGGCCCGTCCGTGCTCTCCACGAGAACGAGCTCGCCGTTCTGCGCCGCATACTGCAGGAGAATGCTGGCCGCGCCGGTGCCGCTGGCCCCCGGGCGCCTGAACGAACAGCTCCCCAAGAGCAAGGCTGGGCCCCCCCTGGCGCGCGCAGCAGCACCTCTGGGGAGGCCGCCGATGCCCCGGATTCCGTCGTCCACGCTCCGCCCAGATCCGCCTAACGGCGCGCACCACCTCGCGAACACTTCAGCGCGCTGATTCGCCATGGTGCTCTTAGCCGCGTCCGTGCGGCAGTGGGCAGCGATGCGAAAACCCTCCGACAAGAGACCGTGCTTCTGGAACACCCTCTGCAATTCCGTGAGCACGGGCGCCGCGACGAGCATTCCGTCGCCAAACGCCGCCACCGAGAGCGCCTGGGGCATCGATTCCGCGACGTACGCGGCGTGCTCTTTGAGGACGGGGGGCATATAGGCGCCCACCCACTCCCCGAAGAATCGCAGCGCATGTCCACTAGCAACCGCGGCTGCATCGATCGCCTTCGGGGCTGGCCAAGCTGGCAACCAGTCATCTCCGATGACCTCGGGGTCTTCCTCGCGCGGCTGCTCCTCCTCTCCGAGCTCGCCGCCGTCGCCGCCGCTCTCCTCGGCAAGCTGGCACAGGTCGTCAGCCTCCGCCTCCGCGTCCGCGGCCGCCGCGTCGGCCTCTACTTCCGACGACGCCTTGCCGCGCTCCTCGCTCACTGCCCGACCCTCTCGGTCGCCGCCGCCAGCGGCGCCCTCGCGACGCACGGGGTCTGCCGAGGCGTCGTCTTCGGCGCGCCCAGCAGCGCCAGCTTCCGGCGCACCTTCCAGCGGCCCTCGAGCTTCCTCCTCGCCCGCTGTCACAGCCGCCCCCGCGGCTTCCCTGGCACTCGAAGCGGCCGCCGGCCGCCGAAGAGCGGAGGCCGCGGCCGCCCTCTTACCCGCACTCGAGGCCGGCGCCTCGGCCGGCCTCTTCTCGGCCCCGCTGGCGATGGACGACGGCGCCTGCCTGGATAGGCGCGCTCGGAGCGGCGACGAGCCTTCTACAGTGCTGGCCCGCGCCGCCGCAGGCGCCACGAAGTTGTCGAGGTCGAGGCGCCCCCAGCGGCTCCCATCCGGGAGCTTCGGCAGTTTTTTCGGGGCCATCAGCCGCGCCGAAGCGGGCCGCGCGCCGAGGCGGCTCGGCCGCGCGGGCCCACTGCGCCGCGCGCCTTGAGCCAGAAAACTCTGGAGGGCAGCCTACTGACCCCATCGGGGCCCTCTCGAGGCCCCCCCGCGGCCCCCAAGGCACATGTCCACGGACCAAACAAAAGCCTGCCTGGTTGTCTCACTGCCCGCCCTCCGCAAGGAGCGAACCAGATAATGAATATTATGGCCCTGGTCTTTCTCACCCCTTCCTCCCCCCGCCCCCCTCTCTTCCTCCTCCCTTCCTTCTCCCTTCCTCCTCCCAGTATCCCCTCTCCTCCTCCCGCCCTCCTCTCTTCCTCCCCCCCTCTTCCCCCCTCCCTCCCCCCTTTCTCCTTTATCCCTCCTCCCTTCCTCCTTCCTTACTCCTCTGTACCTCCCCCCTTACTCCTCTATTCCTCCTCCCTTCCCCCCTTCCTTCCACCCTCTTCCCCTCTTCCTCCCCTTCCGTGCTTCGGGCCGATCGGGGATTCGACTTTTCTGTTCCGTGGATGGGAACATGATCTACCTTTGTAGGCTCTGTTTACCTGTTGCAGGAGCGCGCCCATTGCTTCCATTAGGTCTCGTGCGCCTTTGCCGCTGCTGCTGCTGCCGTCGCTGCTGCCACACCAGGGGCCCAGGAGCGCCAGGCGAGCGAGCTAATCCGAGTCAAGGGGCGGCAACTGGCCCGCCACGCAGGCAAGTGGCAGCAGCAGCAGCATCAGCAGTAGATCTGCCAACGGCCGAACCCCTGGCATCTGTAAAATGGTCGTCGTCCTCCTCCTCCTCCTCCTCCTCCTCCTCCTCCTCCTCTTCCCTCCCCCCATCCTCCTACCCACCCATCCTCTTCCTCCTACAGAGCGAGGGGGGGAGGGAGAGCAGCAACAAGAGCAGCAGCAACAACCAGAACCTTCGGCGGACAGGAACCGCTCTTGCTCTAACAGGGCGCGCCCTCGGCGCGCGAAGACTGGCTTGAAATGCTGGCAACTGGCAGCAGCAGGAGCAGCATCCGCAGTTGATCTGCCTACGGCCGACCCCCTGGCAGGTATGCGATGGCCCTCCTCCTCCTCCTCCTCCTCTTCCCCCTCCCCTTCTCCCCTCTTTTCCTCCTCCTCATCCACGGATCCCGATTCGCCTGCCTGGGGCGGCATCGGCGCAAGTTTCAAGTCTGTTGCGTCCTCGTGGACGCGCCCAGCAGAGTACGGCAAAACCCTCCTGCGTCTCCTGCTCCTCCTCCGCCTTGCTTTCCCCCCCATCCTTCCTCATTTTTTTGCAGAGCGAGTGTCAGACTCCCCTCGACTAAGCACATCGCTCGCATTGTCCGTAGCAAACTTCCGAAGCTGGAAAAGCAAGACCTGTGGACAACCCCCGTGAGAGACCGCCACGGGCTGTCACTGCGCCATTCCCCTGAACTCTAAACCGAGCGTCAGCCCGCAACTCGCAGTGCATATCTCGCGCGCTGGACCTCCCCCCGCCGCCTCGCTCTATCTCCTGCGCCCCCCGGCCTCCCGCGCCCCTCTCGTCTCAGCGAGGCGGCCCCTGGGCGCCGGCCGCTCGACTGGAGAGCGCGCCAGGCGCCCCCGCCGCAAAGAAAAACACCACCGTGCCCCCGGACTCCTGCAGCGCGCACCTACGCGGCCTTGCGCGCGGACTTGCACGCAGGGGCGCCGCCAATGCTGGCTCTCTTCGCCGCCAGAACCGCTGGGGAATGCGGCGTCGCCTTTGGAAACGACGCCGCGTCGCCCACCCTGGCCCTCTCGGCGGCCCCGGGCGCAGCCCGGGCGCACCCTTTCTGGTCAGTGCCGCCGGCCCCGCTCCCAGGCGCGCTGTCTGCTGCACCGCTGGCGCCCTCCGCCTCGCTCTCCCCGCTCACTGCGCGGCCGGCGAGGATCGCCTTCCCCGCGTTCAGAAGGATCTCGGGGATCAGGCGGCCCTCGAGCGCGGGGAACTCCCCCTTCGTCTTGTCAGGCTCCTCTGCGACGCTGATGAGGTTCTTCATGGCATCGCGGACCTTCTGCTTCTGCTGGGTCAGAATCCTCGACTGGCCTTTCGCGTCTCAAATCGACGACGTCACGTTCGCGCACCAGGCGACCAGGAAGAGCCGCTGTCGCAACTGTGACGTCATGGAGTCCACCTGCGACTCAAGATGGGGGTCGCGGTACACCTCCTCTATGAGAGAGAAGCCACCGATCACCTGGAGCGAACGCGGGGTGGCGAGGAGGAGCCGCGGCGGAATGTACTGGGAACGAGGGGAGCTCGGTGGGATGAGACAGCGGGGGACTGGTGAAGGAACACGAGGAGCTGGGGAAGACGGCGAACAAGGATCTGCGCACCTTGTTGACAGCATCAACCAACTTCCCACCCTTGCCGCCGAAGGTCTCCGGCATGTCCACGGTGCCACCGACAACCTTTAAGAACTCGGCCGCTTCCTGCAGCGTCTCGGGGATGGGGCTCCTCTCAAGAAGCTCCTTCGCGGCGCGCACGGCTGGCTCGGCGTCGAACCGCTTGACGGAGCGTTCAGCCCGCTCCTGCGCGACTTTCTCCAGCCATGGCACGGCCTGCGCGTGCAGCTCCTTGCTGGCCCCCACTGCTGCCTCCACATCTTCCAGAGAAGCGTCGAAAGTCTTCGCGATGACCGTCTGGAAGGCGCGCTCCGGCTGCACCATGTCCCCGAGCTGGCGCACGGCGTCGCTCGCGTTCCCCCACAGCTCCAGGTTCAGCTCGCCCCCGGCCTGCTCGGCAAGCTCCTTGGCGTCGGCGACGGCCGCGACGCTGCACAGCCACATGTCCGCTTCCTTCCTGGTGTCCTCGGGCGGCTCCGCGCTCAGCAGCTTGGAGATATTCAAGAAGGCCTGCAATTCCTTCCGTTGCCACGCCGCCGAGTCCACGCGCTTCAGAGACTGTTCTGCTGAACCTTGGCTCTGGCCAGAACGCTGTGGCCCAAGGCCCTGCGCACACGCGCCGCCGTGCCCAGCGCGAGGGAGAACAGCGACTGCAGCCCCTCTACGTTGTCTTCCGCAGACACTGTCACGCCAGAGACCTTCAACAACGCCTCGGGGCTCTCCTTCAAGAGGTCGCACAACCGATTGGCTGTCTTCACTGGCTGCTTCATCCCAGGTACGTCGAGACGGCTGTACGCGGCGATGTCGGCGATCTTCTTCAATGCCCCGAAGGCGGTCTCGTGGGGGCCCTTGATGCCATCAGGCGCCCACTCCTCGACGGTCGACCAGCCGTGCTCCAACTCCAGCCGCTCGACGCACGCGGCAGTCAGGAGCTCCTCTGGAGAACGCGTTTCGGCGCCCAAACTACATTGAGAAGGCGCGCTGCTGCAGCACCTCTGGCACAAGGTGTTCTCCTCATCATCCCCCTCCCTCCTCCGCCTCCACTTCCTCCTGATCGTACTGGCGGTCCGGGGTCCGGGGGTGGTTCATCTGTCTGTGTCCTGTTTCTCGCTATCGGACAAGGAATCTTTCCTCAGGCCTGCTGCGGCTCGCCCCACCTCCTCGCGGGGCGAGCGCAAGAGCAACCCGAGGACCACGTCCTCGAACGCCGTGCCTCGACAGGAGGCAAACACAGGCAACGGCGAGGTCAAACATCCCATGCTCAAGTAGGAGAAAATAAGGCGCGCCGCAGCAGCACCGGCCAAACTAAAACCAATGGCGGATCGGAAACCCTCGAACCTCATCGAACGGACTCGCGATCTTGCGGAGGCCCGCCCGCGGCCTTCCCTGGCGAGTTGGTGCCGGTCGGCCTCCTGCAGCGCGCCCGCCTTGGACACGGCCTCCTTCTGCTTCTTGCAGGCGCGCGACACCTCCTCGGTCCAATTCTGCCACTGCTCCCCGGCGGCATGGCCCGTCACCAGCGCGAAGAGCTCCCGGGCTGCCTGGGCGCACTGGAGAGCAGCCTCCTCGTGGGACCGCTTCTTCATGGCCGACTCCGCCCAACCAACGAGGACTTTGCCGCCCGGGCTCGTGTTCAAAGCGACGCCCAAGGCCCCCTCCCGCTGCGGGAGCGCCTCCAGCGCCTCCTCCACCTCAGTCAGCGGGGCAGTGCTCGCGCGCGACACTGCCCAGAGAACTTGGATTTGACCCTTCAGCTCCTCCTCCCACACTGGCCGCGCAGGGTCGGCGGGGGCCCGCTGGAGAGCATCCCGCGCGGCGCCAGCGAAGGCAACCACGGCAGCAAACGATCCGCCTCCCTTCTTGGCGTCCGACTTCGCGACGGCCGAAATCAGGCCCGTGCCGACTCGCTCGAGGGTCGTCGTCGCGAGATCTGCCGAGGGCGCGCCATCTGCAGCACCGCTTTCCAACAGGGACATCAGCTGCAACCAATCGCAGCGCTTGATGGCCTCGTCTGCCTTCCAGCTCCTGAACCGCATGTGGTACGCCACGCCGAACGCGATGTCCTCCGCCGCGGCGATCTCGGTGTCTTTCAGGAGAGTCTCGGTGTTCCCTGGCTTCTCGCTCACAGCAGCCTGCGGACTCCTCCGCCCCCTCTGGTCCCCCATCGCTCAATCTTCTTCCTCCTCCGCTTCCGCCGCCTTTGAACTGGGCCGGGGGCCTCCAAGCCCCCGTTCACAAAGAGGAATGAACAACTGAATGCGCACTGTAGCCCCCTCCTCCCTTCCTCCCCCATTCCTCCTCCCTTCCTCCTCCCTTCCGCGTCCCTTCCTCCTCCCTTTCTCCTGCCTTCCGCCTTCCTTCCTCCTACCCCCCCTCCTGCCTTCCCCCTCCCTTCCTCCCTCTCCCCCTATCGTCCTTCTCCTTTCCTCCTCCCTTCCTCCATCGACGACGACGACGACGACCACGAACGCGACCACGACCGCGACCACTCCGCCTTGACGACCCGCACTGCCGCGGCCAGCGCCTCCTCTGAGCGCGCCAGCCACGCCTTGTTGATCTGCAGCGCCTGCGCGCCGTCATCCGGGATCTTCCCCATCTTGGCCGCTGCCTTCTTGGCCGTGTGGATGGCGCTCTCTGCGGCTGCCGCCTGCTCAAAAGCCGTGGCCTTGAAGTGGGCTCTCCCCTCCTTCGTGGACAGGTCCACATCTCCGCTGAAGTCGAGCAATTTGTAACACTCCCGGAACGTGTTGAAGAGCGCGTCGGCCTCGCCCTTGAGTTTCCTGCCGGCCGCTGTGAGGCTGAATTCGAGGGCCTTCCGCCCCCTCTTCTTCGACGCGGAGCCGTCCTCGAGAGGTGCTGGCTCGTCCGGCTGCCCGCCGCCCTCGTCGGAGTCGTCGGGCGGCCGGGCGAGCAGGGGCGCGGCCCACGAACCGCCGCTGCCGCGCTTCTTCCCTGGCTGGCTCCGGCCCGAGCGCTGCGGGGTCGCCAAGGGCGGACTGGCGCTGCTGCCGTCGGCTGGCTGCGCCGAGGGCGCGGCCGTCTGAGCAGGGGCGCGGGCGGCTGACCTCTGCGGCGGCGCCTGCGCCGAGGGCGCGGCGCACTTCGAAGGGGCAGCGGCTGCGGGCGCGGCAGCCCCTTTGGCGGCAGGCCTCTCGGCTGTCTGGGCGGGGCGCCCGGACGTAGCCCTCCCGGTCGTCTGGGCTGGTGGTCTGGCCTGCGGCTTGGTCGCAGCCTTGGGCGCGGGCTTGGCGGCGCGGGCCGTGCCCCTCAGGCCCGACAGCGCCGCGGCCACGAGATCCGTCTCTTCGGCGTCCTCGTCGCTCGCGGGAGAGTCGGACTGGTGCCCCTCCGACGGCGCGCTCTCTGCTGCACCGATCTCCGCGCACTGCGTGGCGCGCCGCAGGGCTGCAATTGGGGCCACGGCGGCCTCGGCAGCAGCCGCAACCTCAGCCGCGTCCGCGTCGTCGTCTGACTCGGCCACAGTCGCCAGCACCGTCCTGTCCTCCACCTTGCGATCGTCGTAGTCCGCGATGTCGTACAAGAACTTCTTCGCGCCGTCCTTCATGACATATACAACCTGCCAGTAGGAGAGCAGAAAGGGAGGGCATTTCAACGATGAAGGAAGCGAGTGGGAAGACGACTTGGCAGCGCGCCTCCTGCCAGGCGCCGTCGATGAGCTCCTCGCCGCGACAATTCGGGTCCGTGGGCAGCGGCGTCTCAGGGAAAGCCTCGTGCCACTTGCTCACGGGGCAGGCTTGATGCCAGTTCGTAGACAGGCGACGCCCGGAGACCTTGACGGAAGATACCTGGCGAGCCTGCTGGATGTCTCCCGCGGCCTGCCTGGACATGCGGCGGCGCTTCTCTGGGTCCTTCCCCGCCTGGCTCTGGACGCACGCATCCACCTTGAGCCGCACGGTCTGCGCCCGGCCCGCATCCTGGCGCACCCACTTGATGTACTCCTTCAGCGGCTTCTTCTCGCCGCCAGGCAAGCGGGGGTCCAAGAGCACCGCCTGCGAGAGAGAGAAAGAGAGAGAGAGAGAGAGAGAGAGAGAGAGAGAGAGAGAGAGAGAGAGAGAGAGAGAGAGAGAGAGAGGGGCTGGACCAAGTCGGAATCGCGTCGGACATGGGTCGGGGCCGCGTGGGACTCGAGTCGCGTCGGGCCCCGTGCAGGATAGGCCGGGCGGGGCACCCCTGCGGATCGAGCGGAGGTGGAATGTCCAACGGCAATGCTCGAAGTCGCCTCGCCGCGACCAGAAAAAAATGCATTCCTCTGCCGGTTGCCCTTTTCTCTTGCGCGGAATTGCAATGCGCTGAATTTAAAATTGCATCTTTTTGTGAATTTATTGAAAAAAATCATTTCCCCCCCCAAAAAAGTTATGTTCACCAAAACCACTTTTATGTTCACCAGGGCGATTTTATGTTCACCAGGGCGGTTTTATGTTCACCGGCCGGAAATTCAAAAAACAAGTATGTTCACCAAAACCACTTTTATGTTCACCAGGGCGATTTTATGTTCACCAGGGCGGCTTTATGTTCACCGGCCGGAAATTCAAAAAAAACAATGGGAAATAGGAAAAAATCAGAAATAGAAATTTGCAGCCCGCGCGGGCAGAGAAAAATTGAAAGCGGCGGGCTCGATTTCAGCGAAATGTCCCTTGCCCGCCTGCCTTCTTGCGCAACAGGGCCTTGCAAACCAGGCACAAATAGCCCGTGGCCTGGCGGATCATGCTGCCATGGTCGGTGCGGTACTTCCACGGCCAGTATCCGCCGAACTCGTCCTCGTTACTCGCCTGGGGATACGGGCTCGGGCCCGTGCTCTCGTGGGCGCAGAGACCGCACGTGAAGCTGGAACCATCCTTCTTGTTGAAAGGTTTCACCAGATAGCCAGCCCACTGGCCAACCACCACGAGGGCGACCTGAGAGGAAACGGGAGCCAAGAGGGAGGAAAGGAGGCGAGGCGAAAGAAAGGAAGGACATAAGGAAGTGCACAATGACGGGGGCCCCTCGACCTCGAGGCCGCGCAGCATGCGGCCCCGCCGCAACCCCGAGGCCAGGGGCGGCGCTTTCTCCGTCTCCCCGTCGGCGTCGGAAGGCGATGCCTTCACCGTCTCCGCGCGGGACATCGCGGGGGGCGAGGGGGCGGGCGCGGCGGCGGGCAGCGAGGCGCTGGCGCGGACGGCAGCTTAGCCGCAGCTCGGGAACAATGCTGCGCCGAGAGACGCGGCGAAACAGCGATTGGAGCAACGATCAGGCGACAGCTGCGCGATTGCAGCGGGCGGCCGCGGCGGCGACAACGGCTCTGAGAAATGCACTTTTACACGCCTACGCTTCGTGTCTGTCATGGCGGGAAGATCACCCGCCACTGGCCCGCCTCTCCTCCGAGTCCCTCCAAGGCTGGCTCTCGGGCATGCCCTCGAGGACCGCGCGAGCAGCGGCGATCTGCGCTGGCGTGGGCACCTTTTGTTTATGGTCTGCCTTGCTCCCGCATCCAGGGGCCTCCCCCAACCACCACCACAAAGCGGCCAAAGGTCTGACCCTCGATTGCTGGTTCCATGAACAGCCTGGATGGAGGCCACAGACGGCGCGCATGTCGTAGACGGCGAGGGCCTCGTTCTCGACAAGGCGAATGTAGTGAGGACGGCCAGCCCCAGCGGGATGCGGGAGCTGCGGGCATCGGGCGACGCGCGGGCGCCTCGGCGCGCCCGCGGGGGGCGGCGGCGGCGCCGCCGCCGCAGCGTGGCCGCCCAGCGGCCCGTGCGCCAGAGCGGCGTCCGGCGCTGCTGCGGGAGGCGCCTCCGCTGGCGCGCCTTCTGCTGCACCCTGCGCCCCGCGACCTCTCTGCCGCCAGGCGGCGGCGGCCTCCCAAGCGGCCTTCCAATCCTTCGCGTAGTCAGGCTCCTCATCCCCGCCACGCGCGCCGCTGCCCCCCCCGTCGGCGGAAGCCCCGCCAGGGCGGGAGTCGGCGAACGCCTGGAACCAGCCCGTCGCCAGGTCAACGTCCTTCTCGTGGAGGCGTGCCTCGTGTAAGTCCCGCTCCTCCGCCCAATCGACCGAAAACTGCAGCTCTGAGCAACCCATGCGCGGGCGCGCAAGAAGTTCGACCCAGCGCAGCTCAGCCCGGTCGCGCCCGCACACGCGTAAGATGTGGAGGGCGACGTCGATCTCAATCATCATCTTCAACACTCTGCGGCCCTTCCTCTCCGCCCAACACCGGCGCAGAGAGAATGGCACCTCGGGGGGCGCCGCGCCGAGCCCGCATGGCTGCCCCACCACGTCGCACTCGCAGAACTCCCCCGTGAAAATAGGACTTTTCAAGTGCGAGAAGTTGCGAATCATCACGCAGCCTCCAGGCCCTGAAACCTGGAGGGTCATCATCTTCCCGACAGTCTTGCACCTCGCAGGGGCCACCAACAACCGCAAATCTTCCACTGCGCCTTGGTACTCCCCCCGCAAGTCGGCGACGCCGCCCTGGCACTCTGCCGCGCGCGTGCAGCAAGGCCGCTCAGTTGGGAGGCCGCAGCGAATGAGTCCTGGAGGCGCCACAGCAGCATTGTACATTTCGTCAAACGACACGGCCGTGGCTTCCCCGAAGGATCCCCTCTTCAGCTTCGCATCGACATGTGCTTGCACGGCTGCGGAGACAAGGTCCTCGGACAAGGGGAACTCGTCTGAGCCGAGACCCCAAGGCCAAGCAGCTTCGTCCGACTGGTCAACGTGGTCGCGACAGATGCGCACGTACTCGTGCAGCGGGTCTAACTTCATCCTCTCAGCCTTGTTCGCGCGCCGAGCCGCCTCTCTCCAGCTTCGCCTCTCGGCCTCGGATGCAGCCCGCCAGTCCGCGGCCGCCTGTAGATACAGACGCCGCTCGTACTCTCTCGGGTCTGCCCATGGCGCCCGCGGCTGCGAATCTCGCAGATCAGCCACGCGACGGTGGTAAAACATTTAATGGCCCAACCTCTTGCGCCGCTGGTTGCCTCCTTTGCCTTGGGCCCAGATCGGTTTCGAGTGGCCGCTCTTCTGCAGGAGTCGGCCCCGCTTGGTGCGCAAGTCGCGCCCGCGGCGCCTTCTCCGCCCCTCTTCGTGACAGCGAACAACCTCGGAGATCACGTGCTTGGCGGAGAGCGTCGCGGCGTTCGGAGGTCTGTTGTTCATCGTCTGGAGGTGGGCTCTCATCCGCGCAAAAGCCAATCCCACGCGCCCTTCAGGGCGCAAGTGGTCTAGGGAGATTCCTCTTCCAACCCCCATTCTTTCCCGTTTGCGGAGGGGTCCACCCCTCTCCCGCGCCCCCTCCCCAGGACCTGGGCGCGGGGGCCCGCAGTAGGTTAGAGCGTCAAGAATGGCCCAAGACGGCCCCTAGGGTCGCAGACCGCAGCCGTGAAAAAGCCAACTCGCCTGGGCGACGTTTCTGGATGGGCTGGTGGGGATCTGCGCAACGCCAACAATTCGGAATGCACCGTCGAGGCCATCGCGCACCTAAAACATGCGGAGAGAAAGCGCTGCACCACTGGCAGGAAAAGGTCGTCAACGCCCGTGGTGCACATCTTCCTCGGCCTCAAAGAGAACCCCGAGTCCAGGCAACACTCGTTTGCCCGAAAGAGTTCTTCGCCTTCTGCGCGGCGGGCCCCCATGTCCAGGGAGGCGTCCACGAGCCGCATGGGCCTCCATGGGTAACCGCTCAAACGAATGTCGAAGCGACGATAAAAGGACCCAGTGAATACGTGGACGATGGCGTCTGCTTCGCGGAGGACCTCGCCGGGCCAGGACGCGAGGGGGCCGTGCAGGGCAAGCGGCAATCTCCACAAGTCGTAATGTCCAGCTGCAGCGGGGTCAAAGGCTGAGCTCAGCTGAGCGAGCGTGTCAAAGACGACGCTCTTGCAGAATGACGACAGCGCAGACCCCTTGGGGTCGAGCCAGCCATGCAAAGACCCACGTTTGAAACATGCGCAATGGAATCGCATCCCCACGGCGGCCACGGCCACCCACAGGACCAGCCGTCGCCGCGCAAGTAGATCGGAGAGAAACCTCATCATCTTGACGGTGCGAACATGCTGTTCACGCCTGAAATCCCCCAGGCCCGCTGCGCCGCCGCCGCTCTCGAGGCCGCCATCTTCCCGCCGCATGGCGCGCACAGCAGCGCCGCACGTCTTCTCGAGCGCACGCGGCAGCAATCCATGCAAGGAGATCAACAGCAGCAAGACGCACGCGGTGGGATGCACAGTGTTCCAGCGGTTCAACGCGGGCACTGCAAAACGCCTGCGCAAAGGAACCATCACCGCCGCCACCGCTCTGTCGACAGACTCCTGCCTGTTCGCGCAGCAGTCGCGGCCCCTGCAATGGTGCACAGGCCTCTCTTGAGACACGTCGCCGGTGAACATCTCCTTGATCAAGTCGACCTCTGGCTTGGTGAGGCCTCTACGTTGGCCGCGCGCCGCTGTCACCTCCTCGTCCTCCACGTCCTCATCCATCTGGCGGTCGCAATACCCGAGCAGCATGTCGAGCTCCCCCCTGTCCGCTGGATTCGGCGCGCCCCGCCGCACCTCCAGACCAGCCTCCTCGTCCGACAGGATTTGCCGCAGAGCTGTCTCGAGGGCCCGCAAGTTGGCCCCTGTTTGCAAGTGTCTGACAGTGGAAAACACGCCGCCGACGACCCCCGTCATGTCCCCGACCGACTGCAAACATATTGCGGTTTGATGCTGCAAACAAAAAGAAGGCAACAGGAGGACCCACCAGGGCAACGTCTGCAGCAAATATTTGCACACCAGCCCGTTTGCGGCCACAGAATCGACGCTCGGGGACAAGCACGCCAGCAGCGCCGACGGCCAGAGCTCATCCATATCCACGCGCAACGCCCGCGCGAGGCCTCCGAGCATGCAGTCGGCGGTTGCAGATTCCAGCGCGGACGGTGGGAAGATAAGCTCTTGGCTGTGGACGCGGAGGTCCTCGTCTTCCCAATGCAACGCGCCGTGCTGTGTCATCACTTGCTGCCCACAAGGAGGCTTGCCGTCGTTCAGCTGCACAGTGAACTTGGTTTCGTCCCACTGCAGATGCATAACCAACCAATTGTGTTCTGTCCCAGGCGCTCTGAGCACTTGGCGCTCTATTTGAACACGTTGGCTGTCGCAATAAAGCTCCGCCAAAGCCGATCTCAATTGGCGAACGAAAAGATGGCTGCCTTTGATTCCGGCGCCTCTGAAAACCTTGGCGACGCTGCTAGCAGCCATCCGCAGATTCTCTTTGCTGAACACTGCGCGGAGCATTGTCCGAGGAAGCCACTGATCCCAGCGAAATCTTGGCGACTTCTTGCGCGGGCCTTCCTGCCCCTCCCCCATCACGTCCACCTGTCGCTTGGCATTGTCCAAATTGTGCGTGGCCATCTGCGCCTGCAGCTCCATGCCCAGCTGGAGCCGCGCATCGCCCCTAGCCCGACGAGCTGCAGCGGCAGCCGCGCCCAGAGGCACCAGGCCGCGCCTGCCTGGGCGGGGCCCGGGGCGGCGCGCTTCTGCTGCACCTCGAGCCCCGAGCCCATCGCCGCCCACGAGGCGACCCAACGCGTCCCGAGCAGCTGCGAACAGATCCATTCGGGCATATGACCACCAGCGCGCTGGAGCCACAAGGACTACAGATGCACGGCTCACACGATAGAGGCCCCCAGCCTCCTGCTAGGTTTCTCCTCTTCCTTTTCCTCCTCCTCCTCCTCCTCCTCCTCCTCCTATTCCTCCTCCTCCTTCTCCGGTTTGCTCGACGCGGGCCCGCGCGTCACTTCTCGAGCGGTCACGGGCGCCACCGATGACGCTTGCCACCATGCGGAAGGCAGCGTCGGGTAATGAGCAGGGGCGCTCCCTGGCTTGTCACTCACAGCAGTCTGCTTTCTCCTGCGCCTCCCCTCCTCCTCCTCCTCCTCCTCTCCTCCGCGTTCGTTACTTATTCCTCCTCCCGCGCCCCCCCCCCCCTCTTCCTCGAGGCGGCCTGGCGCTACAACGTCTTGCAACGACCACCTTTGAAGCGGGGGTGCCCCCAGCATCCGTTCGCCGCACGGAGTGACCACATAGTGAGTACCTTAGCCTTCGCCTTTCTGTCCCCATCCTCCTCCCGTCCTGGTCTCTTCCCCCTCCCTTCCACCTCG